CAAAAACCTAATTTTCTCTAAAACCTGTTGATTTAAAAAACGTTTGAATATTCTTTTGTCACTGTTGTTAACAACAATTTGTGAAGGCTAACAATCTCTAGCACTGTTATTAGTATCTAATGATCAAGTAACCGGACCTGACCAATACATACCATTGAAGGTTTCTGTGAATGATCCAATTGTTGACTAACAAATTTAGATTCAGTGTAAACACGCTGTAGTTGCTCTGATACACAAACCGCCTCAGAAAGTGGATCACCATCTGATACAGACCTGGACTTAAACGGGCCAAGGTGGGCTACAGAGCGTGGACTTTGATCCATCCCATTCCGTGACACAGGGAATTAAAAAAAGATGTATCAAATGGTCGGTGAATGAAGCCAAAATAAATTGTGGCCTCCAGTAGGTCTGGTGGTGATCCAGCTTTGCAACACTCCAAAGTGTATTATAATGGACTACAATGTATTTCCCAGACCCGAACTGACCCGGCCCGGTCCACAGACACTAAACAACAGTACTCACCGGAGAGCCCCCCTCCGCGGCCGTGTCCTCGTCTCCTCTGCAAGACGAAGAAGGGATTGGCCCGCTCAGAGACCCACAGAGCCCCAGCCAGCAGCACCTCCTCTGGGTGAATCCACATCTCAGCTGCTGCGTCTCACCGTCCACCGGGAAACACCGGAACAAAGGACGGGCTATGGGTGGATGGCTCTGTATAATTTAGACACACCGAGTTGATGTTGTTTCCACTCAGTCTGATGACTGCATCACTTCCTAGTTTGAGTCGACAGGCCACGCCCCCTGCGCACGTTGCGTCATTACATCACGAACGGAGGAGAAAAACGGCAAAAGCTGATTGCATTCATAGTCTGATTATTAACGTTTGTAAAGTAATTATTTACGTTTACAAACTGTTAACATTTTTAAAAAATTGATATTTTAAGCGTATTATTAGCATTTATAAACTGATTATTAACTTTCCTAACTGGCTGATTGAACATGTAGGTTATCATGAACCTCTTGTCACTGACAGAAAATCCTTCTCATTTAACTTATTACAGCTAGTCATGTTATTTAATTCACATAGTCACTGCTGGAAACCTGGTCAGTACAGATTATCTAGTGACCGTTATAGAGTGTGAATGATGTGTATTGAGCATTATGATGAGGGGTCAAAGGCCAAAGTGTTTATTTATCATATGCACAGTTAGGAAACATGTTTCCCTGTACAATGAAATTCTTACTTTGCTGTCCACATGAATGCCACAAAATACAAGTGAAATATAAAGTTAAATATAAAATAGATGAGCAATAACACAAATCTAAATAGGCAGTAAAATCACAAATCTAAGGCACTTTAAATCAGCAAGTGAAGGGAGCAAATAAAAATACAAGAACACATATATATAGAGAGAGAATATATGCTACGTGGGAGCCGTGGAGTGTAAATACTCAGCAGTGGGTGTGCAATTGTGCATGTGCAAAATGAGTATGTAAACAGTACAGATGGAATTACATGAGGTACACCCTGAGTCAGCTGTTTAGGAGTCTGATGGCAGAGGGAAAGAAAGAGTTTTTCAGTCTAGAAGTCCTGCATTTCACACTTCTGAGCCTCCGACCGGAGGGTAGGGGTATAAACAGTCCGTGCTGGGGGTGGGTGGGGTCCTTGAGGATGGAGGCAGCTTTCCTACACACCCTGCAGTGGTAAATGCTCTGCAGAGAGGGCAGTGGAGTCCTGGTGGAGTCCGTTAACTTTAAGATGATGTTGTCTTTGTGGGAGGCGACACAGTCGTGGGTGAACAGGGTGTAGAGGATGGGACTGAGGACACATCCCTGTGAGGTGCCAGTGTTCGTAACAATGCTGGCTGAAGTCCTATTGCCAATCCTGACAGTCTGGGGCCTGCCAGTCAGAAAGTCCAGGAGCCAGTCACAGAGGGTGGAGTGCAGAGCCAATGTGGACAGGGAGAATGGTATCTCGCTTTCATATATACCGAAAGTGTATGATGAAAGTGACAATAAATTATTGAATTGAATTTCATCATCCAGTACTACACGTGTACATGTATAACATTGGGCGTCGATATGTGTCACATGTAGACCTATATGTTCATTAGGCCTATGTGCAGCATATATTTATATATGTAGGCTACTGTAGGGTTAGGGGTTATACTGTATGTAGCCTACCCAGTATATTTGTATTGGGGTTCACTCCCCTGACAACCAGGGGCACATGTTTCTGTAATCACTGTAATCAGGTTCAGGCGTTAACTTCTGCTGAGTATTGTTTAGTTATGTTAAATATGAACAATTATGTGCAGTAAGTACATATTTCCTATTTTCAGTGTGCAATTATTTATGTGACTGAACTATCATACATTTCAATGACAGACATTAAAATGTATGTTTGTGTATAAACATACTGAACGGTGGAGGAAACGGAATCTGTCAGGAGGTGAAATAAATGGAGACTGCATGTTAAAGGCAATAATGACAATTTAATGACATTTAATGCTGAGGCAGTAAAGACAATGAACTGAAATACCACATATAGCTCCTCCACCATCATCATCGTCATCAGTAGCACGGGACAGGACAGACAGAGACAGAAGCTGATCATCCTATAGGACATCTTCAGGTCACTTCAAAGATAATATTGATTGATTGATCAGGTTATAGATTGTATAATGCTGTTTATATACCAAAGCCCATCGCTGGGGCTGATTATTATTCAGAAGCTGTTTAATACATTTTAAAGGAGCAGTCCGTCACTTCAAAAAACCCTCTCTCTCTCTCTCTCTGCTGCTGGACATAAAGAAAACGTGTCAGTAGTCCTGGACTCGCAGGGCTCCCGCTGCAGACCTTAGTCCTAATCAGGACTCACCAGGTCTGTGTTTCAGTACTGTTAACATAATGTTGTTGGTCTGGTGATAGCTGAGGGACAATCCTGGAACCTAACTTATTATTTCTTGTTACCTGTCAAATAAAATCCCCTGTTAAATCAAAGTTTACCTGAGTGACTTTACTTGGCATGGAGGTGATGTCACTCTGCTGGACAACTGACATAGGATGGCCTTTATTTGAAAAAATTACACAATCTTACTGATGTTTATTGTGATGATCAACACTGATAAATCAACAATGGTTAAATAATTGGAATATTTACTTTAAATGTTTTTTTTACATTTCACTCATCAGTTAAAAACTGTGCAACCTGATGAAGCCAGCTTGAGCTTGAGTGATGTTTGAAATACTGACTGAACAACAAACTGTTGATTACTTTAATCAATCAATCTATCCCTTCAGTTATATGGTTTTTTAAAAATGTATAAGATATTCTGAAATGCTGGACTGCTCCTTTAAATCTAATCACTTTTTTTACATAGACATTTTTTTTTGCTGTAGGGGATTTAACACTGTTAAAGTTCACCATTGTTTCCTCCAGAGGATCAGGGTCCAAGTCCAGGTCCTCCTCTGGTACCATTCTGATGATAAGAGGGACGAATCTGCTAGTCAGTATTTACAGGCAGAGTTCTTATCCAGGTTCAGCTCTTGCAACAGAACCCAGACTCTGACTGCAGTCCAGAAGAGTCTGTTAATGATGCAACCAGCAGTCAGCCAGGGTCAGTTTGGCTCCAGATGTTTTTGAGCTGCTGTTGATTTGGGTTACTCAGCTGAATGCAAACCATCAGGAAACACTGACACAAACCTTTTCTGGGTCTGGGTTCTCTAGATCCTCTCTAGGTTCTGGTCCTGATGTTGTCAGGTCCATTCAAATGTAGGTAAGACAGTATCAGGTACAGGTCTTTGGACTCATTTTGCATAAACATAGAAACACTTTAAAACCTCAAGAACTGTTTTGAGGAACCAGAAAGCTTTGTAAGACCCATAAAACAACTTGAGTTCTGAAATGTTTCTCAAAGCTCAGAAACATTTCCAGGAACACATGGAACTGATTATAGGAAACTCAAAAGAAGAACCATTTTAAACATCTTTTTACCATGCCTAAAAATCTTTTTAGGCATGCAAGAACCTTTGCATGAACATATTAGAGACTCCATTTTTTTCCAGGAAGCCCTTGTAGGATCCAATTAACCTTTTTCGCAGCTTTCCAAAAAACATTATGGAATTCAGGAATATCTTAACCAGGAACCCAGGAAAGTTTTAGGATCTCTGAAATTTTTTTCCAGGAACCTGAGAACTTGTTAACTTGGTAACTTTTTAAATATACTCTTTAAGCACTCAGAGTATTTCCAGGAAATACTGTAGGAATCCAGTACATTTTTGGAGCCTTTTAGGCATCCAATGACCTTGTTAGAATCTCAGGAACTGTTACAGATACCTTTTAATGAACAGCCTTTTCAAAAATACCCCCCCTCCTCCAGTAACCATTTAAGAAACTCATGAGGTTTTCAAATACTTTTTGGGGGAGGTTTTCAAGTACTTTTTAGCTTCCAATAGTAAACTTACAGGAACCTTTTTAGGAACTATTCCAGAGCACATGAGTATTTTTAGGAACTAAGGAACTTTTCCAGGAACCCTTAAATGTTTTCTAGGAACCCATCAACAAAATCATCTCCAGGTCTACCAATAAAACCTAATTCAGGTTCTGGTTCCTGGGCCAAAGGAGGTTCTAGAGTCCAGTTTGTTTTGTCTGAAAATGTCACTTTAACAATTTCCACACTGCTTCCTCAGGTTTTTTTTTTTTTTGTATTTTGGGAAAAATAGGAACATTAGAGTGACAAAATAACCAGTCTAAACTGAGACTAGGATCCAAATGTGGAGCTAGACCAGTCCACCTTCAGCCTGAATAACCTTGATGGCATAAAAGACTAAAGGTCTACTCAGGCTGTCATTATCAAACCCCTTCCTGAACAGGAAACCTCTAAGAAGACTTCCTGTATCCATAAAAGGCTGTCATAACGTGGGGGGTCATAACAGTGATGACAAGCATCAGGATTTGTTGTCATCAAAGAGGTCGAGTGAGGCCTGGATGTCCGTCAGCTCCATCTCACAGACAACGCTGCGTGGAGGCATAGAGTTCCGGTTGAAGAAGTGACCACCACCTAAAGAGGTAACATACAAGAACTCTAATTTCTCACATAATTAAAAATACTGAATATTAGCTGTATTTGTTAAAAAACAATGTCACATCACCTCTGTATGTGAACTCTGAACAACTTTATTCAGTGTAAAACTGTTCTACGTCATCATAAATCTGCTCTACAAAATTGAAAGTTGCTCTACGACAGCATAAAGTACTGTATATGTTGCCTGTAAAATTTTGTTGCAGTTACAATAAGTGTTGACATCTTTTTCAAACCCTGTTCATAGTCTTGGGTTTATTGTATTGTAACCATAGACTGTATATGCCAGGTCTGCCCGGTGCTACCTGCCTCTCTTCCCCTTTCTCTCTCCCGCTCTCTCATCCCATAGGCTCAGCGACACAGGTGAGAAGCATTCACCTGTTAATTCTCTCCCTGGTGTGGTGCACAGCTTAAGCACATCCCCTAATTACAAAGCTTTCCTACTTAAAGCCCTGGCAGACTATGTTAACGGTGACTTAACAATTTGGATAGTAACAGTGACACTGACGGCGATCTTCCCTGCCATGCTAGCCCGACGGTGATCTCCCCTGCCGTGATTACCTCTGGGTTACCTGACAGCGATCGCTACTATGCTTCTCTGATGGCAATTGCTACACCTGCCCTGTCCTCTGGTTCCTGTTCCCCTCCTGTCATCTCAAATGCTGCCAGCTCTCCGTCCTGTATCCTAGTTACTGCTGCTCACCTGTCTACTTACCTGCCGGTCCTGGTCTTCTCAGCCTCCACTGCTCAACTATGGTTTGGACCACGTATAACTCATTGACTTTGTCCTCCTAAGCTCCATGTACATTGTAATAAAGACACTTACTGACTAGCACCTGAGTTTGCACCTTGAGTCCTCATTCTCTCTCTCTGTCTCTCACCCCCTGGTGAGGGACACCCCTACTGTAACAGTATATATAGATGGACAACATGACAGCTTCCACAAGTGTTAGCATGTTAGTGGATGGGACATGAGCCAATCTAAAAACTCATCAAAAAGATTTCCCACAGGTGACTTCTCTCATTTTAGGTAAATATTATCACACTGATTTGTGTACAAGTGGTCATGTTTCGGTAGGTTTGTTTTAAGTTATTTGATGATACAAAAAAAGGTGTATTTCAAATCACTGGCAGTTTTGATTGATGGCTTGTCACCGTGGCGCCAACTCTGGTTGCTACCACATAGAATCTAGTTGTAAAATACATCAGAAAAGCAAAATGGCCACCGTCGTATTCGGGGGCCTCACATTTGTATAGTGGCAGGAAGTGATGTGTTGTCAAATTGACATAGTCTGTGGCTGTGCCGTATTATGCTGCATTCTTACTGGTCACGGAGAAGGTGATGTCAGCAGGTGTTTGGGGTGTGGCCTCAGGGTGGGGTGGACTGAGTGGCTCCAGGCTGATGGACGGATGGTTGTTGTCACTCAGCGGTGCCCTCTGGCTGCTGGACGCCTGACTGACACCCAGACGCTCCACGTCCAGCACCACGCTATCCACACAGGGAAGACTGGTCTGAGGACACACATAGATATTACCAGACCGAATCCCACACCTGGTGTGTACCTCTTTACATCAGCAGTGACTTACCATGATGCCAAGAGCTTTGAGGATATTGAGTTTACACATTGGACAGGTGCAGTGCTCGTTCAGCCAGGGGTCCACACACACCTTATGGAAGACATGTCTGCGGAGTCACAGAGACATGTTTTATCTGGTCATAGCTTACTTTTTCATCAGAACTGACAGGACTGAGAATCACCATGATATAAACCTATATTCACTTAGGAAAATATCCAGCATATGGTTACAGTATGAGAACCCTGTGGAACCAGTCTCTGGTGTTTTCAGACTCACTTGCAGGGGAGAATTCGAACCACATCATTCAGCTGGTAAGCTTCAATACACACCGCACAGTGGTTAAAGTCTGGATCAGTTTCCTACAACACACACCAGAAAGACACACAATAATCAGACACAGGAAACACACTAAAGAAAACATCTTAAAGTGACAGCTAAACAGGAAATTGCTCAACAACTTTACAAAAATGATTTCATTTTCATTCAGTCTCTGTGGTGCTTCTGAGTCTCTGGATCATGAATCTAATCAAATACTATTACTCTGTTTTTGTGTATTGTGGTTTTAATGCTTTGGTGCCTTTATGTAACTTTTTTTTTTAACTAAATGTTCTTTCTGGCTTTTGACTCCTTACCTGACTCCAAACGAGTGCTGCAGAAAAATTCCTATATGCCTCGACTGTCTGTTTATGCATAAATGGCAAATAAAAATCTTGAATCTTGAGGAGGCTGCTGGAGAAGCTGTAACTTTTGACGGACTGCTGTTTCCTGCGGTAAACCGTATTCATTTCCTGTTTTCTGTATTTGCACAGCGTTGTGCTTGCTTCCAGATTGTTTAGGAATTAAACTCACTATTTTCTAGGTTCATCTGAATTTTTGAGTGACAACATACGCTTGCACCACTTAAAGCACTTGTTTTGCAGAAGTTCTTGCTAACTACCAAATTTAACTTGCTACTTTAGGTCGGCTAGTTTAGAAGCTAGCTAAGCTAGTAGCTTAATCGAGAGCAATGGCTTCCCCCTCTTCCTCTCCTCCTTTCTCTTGCTC